GTGGTAGCACAGAACAGCGCTATGTTCCCTATCTGCAGTGTCCCATTGCAACATCCTTTTGCAACAGCTGCCTGTGTCTGCTAGCAAATATTAGTTTGCTTGTTCACCACTCTGAGTGTGAAAACAGTTGCTGTCATGTTAATGTAACTGAAAGAACTGTGAACTGAAGCATTAAGTCTGCTCAGCCCTCATTTCAGCATTCGTCAGTGTTGTCATATTTTTTCAAGAAACGTCCTGTAGTTTTGTAGAAAGCCTGACCATTTTATTTTGTGCCTACCAAGAGATTGACTTCTCTGATAATATATCCAAAAAACATATTTTTTCAAATATATGTTCACATTTAGGGTTCAGCCATAAGGACAGTAGAATTACTTTAATACTGTTACACAAATGATAGCAGTTTTCTCACCTTTGTAATGTTAATGCATTAGCAAGGCATTAACAGCAGCATGTTTAGGTCTCTATAAACCAATTGAGGTCCTTGGTTTAATTGCAAAATACAGGACAAGCCCTGCTTGCAGACCTATAGCCCAGTTGAGAGAGACAGCAGTGGGAATTGCATGCAGTTACTTGAAGAAAGAATTTGAAACTGTCTCTAAATTGGTGTGTGAATAACTCCCAAGGCATACTCTATAGTTTAAAATGTTTATGAATAAACAGTGTTTCAGTTAAAGTATATGCATAAGCCATTTTTATTAAATAATGCTGAACACTTAATGAATTGGTGGTAGGCTGCAGTTTGGAAGCTCTTAATGCACCTTCTGTTCCTGACTCAGGCCTAGGATTCAATAAATGCTTTTTTTATGTCCAACCCAGTATTCTGAGCTGGGATGATTTTACTGCCTGAGATATTTGCTCTTCTGAGGTTACAGACCACCCATGGCTTGTTTTTTCTTCCCGTTTAAAAGCTGAAAATGTTACTAATTAAACAAATGCTTCTGCTGTGTTAACTACATGACAGCATTGTTCATGAGGTAGATGCATGGGTTTTATCCTGCCCACAGCCTTTTTCACCCTGAAAAGGAGCATCAGGAGAAGGGAACTGGAGCCCAGTTTGCCAGTAAAGTTATCTCAGTGAAAGAAAGAGCTACGTAGATTAATTAGATCTGCAACATGCTACTATCTGTTAGAATGGGCAAGGCTGTTTTACTTAACATTTTCAGCCCTTCAAAATGAGAAATGGTGCACATAA